ATGAAAGACTTAGCATGGAGATGATCAATAAATGAATCTATCTCTCTCACACACACACATACAGACATTCAAGTAAATATTTTCTAATGACGTTTTAGAGAAAGTCACATCAATAAATTGGTATCTCTCAAAACCCAGATAAATGGCAAGAGCCTAAGAGATAATGAGAGTAACTCTTGTTTCCCTTTGACCTCAGTATTTTTTCCAAATATAAATTTGCTTTTATTACCTTAAATATTAAGAATATGTGAAAATCATTTAGGAAGCTGAGGTTAGGGCAAAATCAAACAAATGACCAAAGGATATTCAAAAGTACAAAAGTTTAGAAACCACTATGCTAAGGATTAAGAATGCAGAAAAGAAAAAAATATATATATATATACATATATACATAAAGCAAATTAATTCACAAAAATTTCAAGTTAGTTTTTTAAAGTCTAACACCCTTTTTTCTGTCATATTTTATACAATTAAATTGGGGAACTATGGTTGGTCACTCAATCTTTAGGGTTAAACTCACTAATTTTAAATTAAGAAATAAATTAAACATTTGGAAAAGCAAAAAGGTTATTTTCTTCTAGCCTCAATAGGCAGAAAGCAGAAAGTGCCACAAAGTCAAAGTAGTTTAGCCTTTCATAATAAGCTGGCTGAAATTACTAGATACTAGATTAGTTTAACTGCTTTCTTCCCTTATTATAGAGACAATATAGGCTCAATATAAAAATTTAGAAGAATAAAATACAAACTGTCTGTAGTACTATTATACAGAGATTAGCCACTGCTTGCATTAGTTTTGACTAACGTCATTTCACACTTAAATTTTAAAAATGAATACAGTATTTGATTTTAAATAAAAATTACATGTATCTACTTTTGATTATGAACTAATCCTTTTAAAAAATGTTTAGTAACTCTCAATGCCTGCCTCAAACTGTGTACCAAATAAATGCAAAAAGTATCCAGAATATATTAGTTTATTCTCTATTATTTTCAACTTCTAAGTTTCTATTGATTTCAGTAATAATTGCTATCTTCCAAATACAAACTGAAAAAAAAAATTTCTGAAAAAAATCCTAAAGGAAGTTCCTCTCCTAATGCTTTCATAAGTTTATGCTTCAATTTTCTCTATTACATCAAGTAACCAAACTGAAATCTATAAAATTAATCAAAAATATAAGAATTACTGCTTAATATGCACAGGACACATCTTCTGAACAGGAAACATATTTTTCCCTATGTTAAGTACAAAATGTATTGTAGTCATAAAACATCAAAAATGTAGTTGATATGGATAACTGATTACACTGAGTCTAAATTAAATTTTAAGCATCACTTAAATTGATTTAATTCAAATAAAATTCACCCAGTCACTAATGGTGAATAAACTGAACCCTAATGACTCATATTCAGGAAGAAATGTTTAGCTTCATACTCAAAATTTTAAATTAAACTAGAGCAGTGTTATTCAAATTTTTTCAGATATCAGGATACCTGGAACTCATAGCACTTTTGCTAACCACCTAAAACACTGATTAAACTTCAAAACTATTAAATAAATAACTTTTGGCAAAATCAGACCCCTTCTTACAGTAGGTTTTATTATATACACCTGAGAAAAATTATGGGTGGGGATGTGGGGGAGTGAACCATTATGTATTTGATTTCATAGCAAGGCTCAATTCGGGTTGCGCCTCTGAAGAATAGTTTGAGAAACACTAAACTAGAAAGCTCTAAACAGCCACATTTATATGTGCAATTTACGTTAGATCTTCCAATGCCTTTTAAACATTTAAAAATGCCAGCAGCGGGCTTCCCTGGTGGCGCAGTGGTTGAGAATCTGCCTGCCAATGCAGGGGACACGGGTTGAAGCCCTGGTCTGGGAAGATCTCACATGCCGCGGAGCAACTGGGCCTGTGAGCCACAACTACTGAGCCTGCGCGTCTGCAGCCTGTGCTCCGCAACAAGAGAGGCCGCGATAGTGAGAGGCCCGCGCACCATGATGATGAGTGGCCCCCGCTCACCGCAACTAGAGAAAGCCCTCACACAGAAACGAAGACCCAACACAGCCAAAAATAAATAAATAAATTTATTAAAAAAAAAAAATGCCAGCACCTAATAACTTCCTCAATTATCAACCATCTCTGATATGCTTTTGTCTTCTGCCTTTAGAAAACACAGATCTGGCTCCATTGAAGAGCAATCTAGGGTCACCAGGGCCCTAAAAGACAACAGAACTCTTGTATGGACACACCACATACTTGCTTACAGACTTCATCTAGTTAGGCCTGCACGGAACTGGACTGAGCATCATGAGTTATCATTTAAAATCCCATTTAACTATCAAACTCTTAGAGGAAAACATAGGCAGAACACTCTTTGACATAAATCACAGCAAGATCCTTTTTGACCCATCTCCTAGAGAAATGGAAATAAAAACAAAATAAACAAATGGGACCTAATGAAACTTCAAAGCTTTTGCACAGCAAAGGAAACCATAAACAAGACCAAAAGACAACCCTCAGAATGGGAGAAAATATTTGCAAATGAATCAACTGACAAAGGATTAATCTCTAAAATTTACAGGCAGCTCATGCAGCTCAATAACAAAAAAATAAACAACCCAATCCAAAAATGGGCAGAAGACCTAAATAGACATTTCTCCAAAGAAGATATACAGACTGCCAACAAACACATGAAAGAATGCTCAACATCATTAATCATTAGAGAAATGCAAATCAAAACTACAATGAGATATCATCTCACACCAGTCAGAATGGCCATCATCAAAAAATCTAGAAACAATAAATGCTAGAGAGGGTGTGGAGAAAAGGGAACACTCTTGCACTGTTGGTGGGAATGTAAATTGATACAGCCACTATGGAGAATAGTATGGAGGCTCCTTAAAAAACTACAAATAGAACTACCATACAACCCAGCAATCCCACTACTGGGCATATACCCTGAGGAAACCAAAATTCAAAGAGTCCTGTACCAAAATGTTCACTGCAGCTCTATTTACAATAGCCTGGAGATGGAAACAACCTAAGTGCCCATCGTCGGATGAATGGATAAAGAAGATGGGGCACATATATACAATGGAATATTACTCAGCCATAAAAAGAAACGAAATTGAGCTATTTGTAATGAGGTGGATAGATCTAGAGTCTGTCATACAGAGTGAAGTAAGTCAGAAAGAGAAGGACACATACCGAATGCTAACACATATATATGGAATTTAAGAAAAAAAAATGTTATGAAGAACCTAGGGGTAAAACAGGAATAAAGACACAGACCTACTGGAGAACAGACTTGCAGATATGGGGAGCGGGAAGGGTGAGCTGTGATAGGGCGAGAGAGAGACATGGACATATATATATACTAACAAACGTAAGGTAGATAGCCGGTGGGAAGCAGCCGCATGGCACAGGGATACCAGCTCAGTGCTTTGTGACCGCCTGGAGGGGTGGGATAGGGAGGGTGGGAGGGAGGGAGACGCAAGAGGGAAGAGATATGGGAACATATGTATATGTATAACTGATTCACTTTGTTGTAAAGCAGAAACTAACACACCATTGTAAAGCAATTATACCGCAATAAAGATGTTTAAAAAAAAAAAAAAATCCCATTTGCCTCCACCTTCACCCTGATTTCCCTAACTTCTCAAATCCTTTGATCTCTGGTTTTCTGAACTACTGGGGCTGCCATCCCAAAGACTATGACACAATCTAGTTTGGCTTGATAATTGTTTATATCTCCCCTCCCCACCTCAACCAACTTGCAGGGATGAGTAAACACAATTATACTTCTTTTCTATGCCAAATACACACAGTGCTGAGCAAAGAACTCAACAAATATTTGACCAGTTTTTAACCAATTCATTGACATCTCTGAGATTTCTGAGGTTTTCTTCAATGCTCCTTTCAACTGAAAAAGCAGTATTCTTTACCTTATGAGAGCTTCTTTAATGCCTTGTCTGTCTTCCAGCTTATTTTCAACTCTTAACAAGGCTGGTATGCCATGGCTTTCAGAGGAGAAAATGTGCAGTGACAGAAAGTCAGCCCAGTGATTTAAGCAAACCAAGAACTCAGCACCATGGAGTTTTGAAAGTGACTACAGGGGCAGCAAAAAGGAGGGCAAGCCAGCAGCCCAAATTCTTTTAAGAAACAGCTTGGGAGAACAGAGCTTCCTTCCTTCCCTCCCTCCCTCTTTCCTTTCTTTTCTTTCTTTCTTTCCTCCTCTCATTTTTTATTTTTCAGAATATGTTAAAAGGTAGGTACCCACCTACTTAACCGCTTTATACAGTAAATTTTCATGACAGGGACTTCCTTGGTGGTGCAGTGGTTAAGAATCCGCCTGCCAATGCAGGGGACACAGGTTCATGCCCTGGTCCAGGGAGATCCCACATGCCAAGGAGCAACTAAGCCTGTGCACCACAACTACTGAAGCCTGCACGCCTAGAGCCCATGCTCCGCAACAAGAGAAGCCAAGGCAATGAGAAGCTGGCGCACCACAACATAGAGCAGACCCTGCTCGCCACAACTAGAGAAAGCCCGCGCGCAGCAACAAAGACCCAACGCAGCCAAAAATAAATTAATTAATTTTTTTTAAATTTTCATGACAAATCAGTTTGTACATATTTTTCACTTTTCTAAATTTAATGTGCCACAAATTTTTTTTTTTAAATAAGTCTCTGAAAAGTACGGTAGTCCCTCGGTATCCACAGCAGATTGGTTCCAGGACCTGCTGGAGATACCAAAATCCACTGATGCTCCAAGTCAGCCCTCCACATCCACAGTTCTGAATCGATGGATTCGACAGACCTCGGATCATGCAGTACTGCAGTATTTGTTGAAAAAAATCCACACGTAAGTGGACCCGCACAGTTCAAATCCATGTTGTTCAAGGGCCAACTATATAAATATTCAAATTATAAACCCAATTTTTATAACATAGAGGAGGCTCAAAAAAAGTAAAACAAGAAATCACAGCTCTTAGCTTACCATATATGGGGGTAAATGTGAAGTGGTTCAGATGACAAATATTATAGGCTTCAATTCTAACATCTTTCCAGAGGCCCTGGGTAGGAAAGGAAGGCCCCCAGTCCCAGCTAAAGGAACACTGTGCCTGCAATTTTAAGGGAAAAAAAGAAGATCGATTCTAATTACCACGAGACTTAAACATTATGAAAACCCTTTTCTTTTAAAATATTATGTACATGTGTACTAGTTTGCTAGGGCTGCCATAACAAAATACCACAAACTGGGTGACTTAAACAATAGAAATTAACTTTCGCATAGCTCTGGAGGCTGGGAAGTCCAAGATCAAGGTGTTGGCAAGTTTGGTTTCCTGGGCTTACAGATGGCCACCTTCTCACTGTGCCCTCACATAGCCTTTTGTATACACACACACACACACACACACACACACACACACACATGCCCCTAGTGTCTCCCTCTGTTGTCCAAATTTCCTCTTCTTATAAGGACATCAACCATACTGGATCAGCAGTAATCCTAACGGTCTCATTTAACTGAATCACCTCTTTAAAGACCTCATCTCCAAACAGAGTGACATTTTGACCTTACTGAGGGTTAGGACTTTAATATACAAATTTGGGGGGCACAGAATTAAGTCCATAATAGCGTGTGTGTGTCCCATATACAGCATCAAACATGACCCCAAATGATCCTCTCCTGGTATTCAGGTCCTTGTGTAATCCCCTCCCCTTGAGTACGGATTAAACCTAATGAATCACTTCTAACCAACAGAATACAATAGCAGTGAGAGCACGTCCAAAATTAGGTTATAAAAGAGTGCACCTTCTGTTTTGGGTGCTCTGTCAGCTCTCTCTTGGCCAAGGGGGAAGTCAGCTGCCATGCTGTAAGGCAGCTCTGTAGACAGGCCCACATGAGTGAGCCTGGAAGCCCATCTGAGGCCTGCCAATAACCACATGGGTGAGCTTAGGTAGGCCTCATCCAGGCTTAAGGTGACTGCAGCCCTGGTCCACAGCTTGCCAATAACCTCATGAGTGACCTTGAGCTAGAGGTACCCAGCTAAGCCACACCTGCATTCCTGACTGACAGAAACTGTGATAATAAATGTTGTTTTAAGCTGATAAGTTTTGGTATAATTGTTACACAGCAATAGATAACTAAAAAAATAACTAATCTATCAACCTAGGCAACATAGTTAAATTTGGCAGAAATGTTCTAAGACCATAAAATCTAATTATGTACATTTATTCTTCAAAAGCATATTACACTGAAGTAACACAATACTCTTTGAATTTCTCCCAAATATCTCTGCACCCACTATCATATTTAAATGTAATAACTATAAAGAATGAAGAAACATATTGAAAGATAAAGATACAACAGTTTAAGAAACTCTAACTAGAGTTTCTTGCCAACCCCTATTTCCTCCAGTAAGAATTCAGAAATCCTGGTTTCTGAACTTACAGCCCAAAAACAATCATTTCAACCGGAGCAAAGGTGCAGAAGGCTAGTAATAAGAATCACTCATAAATATGAACCCTACAGTCTGGTGAAAAGTTTGATAAACCCAGGTGTTTTTTTAAAAAAATTGTAAAGGGGAATTCCCTGGCGGTTCACTGGTTAGGACTCCGCGCTTCCACTGCAGGGGGCATGGGTTCAATCCCTGGTCAGGGAATTAAGATCCCTGCAAGCATCGTGGCATAGTCAAAAAAAAAAAAAATTGTAAAAGTACATTATCAGTCACCTATTTTTCTTCTTTTTCCAACGTTATCTAAGTTCTGAAGCACTCCTCAAGAAGGAAACCTAGAAAGACAAGCTCTCTACAAAAATTCTTGTAACTTTTGGTTCTTTTTTCTTTTTTTTTTCTTTTTTTGCGGTACGCGGGCCTCTCACTGTTGTGGCCTCTCCTCTTGCGAAGCACAGGCTCCGGATGCGCAGGCTCAGCGGCCATGGCTCACGGGCCCAGCTGCTCCACGGCATGTGGGATCCTCCCGGACCGGGGCACGAACCCGTGTCCCCTGCATCGGCAGGCAGACCCCCAACCACTGTGCCACCAGGGAAGCCCTGGTTCTTATTTCTAATTTTTAAATCCCACTAAGGGGGCAGGAAAGAGATGCCCAACTTCTGAAATACAACTGGAGTCTTCAAACAAGAATTTCATACGCCCTCATCCCATCCTCAAGGCTAAAGCCCCTCCATTGCGAGATTGTTACCTTGCGAATAAAGTTGACATGGCATTCGCCATCCTGCACACGTGGAGGGCAGTTGGGGGGCACGCTGTAGTGAGTGTGAACTTTACTCCTCTGGTCCGCATATATCACTGGTGACTGGAAATGCACCTCAAGGATGTTTACTGCTTGGACCACATGTGTAATATCAAAGCTCTAAATTAAAGGGAAAGAACAAATGTGAAAGTAGCCTCCTGTGTAAAATTTTAGATATAGGCAGAATGCATGAAAGACGCATAAAATAATTGAAATCTTTAGGTTTAGCCTTTTTGCAGGAGAAAGCACTTCTCCAAAATAGTATAACTTAGTTGCCTACTTTTAGTTATAACTGATCACATTCTCCTACCCAAACATAGATTTCTAGGTTTTCTCCTGCTGTTTTTACTGACAGATGATGGTCCTAGGCAAATAGAGCAAGCAGAGACTATCTTTAGCCCTGGAATGTCTGCTCTGGCTATTTACACATGGCTTTGAATTGCCTAGGATTTCCTAGACACTTCGTGATAACCTGGCTCTCTGCTATGCATAGTATGTATTTCTAAGTCATAAGTTATTTTTGTTTTGATAAGTCTACCCTTGAAAGGGAAGGGAGATCAGGATACAATCTCTTAGGGTAACTGTTCCAGAAAGGAAGGAACATTTTCTTTTAAAATGGTTTGTCAACTGTCATTTCCCATGAAACTCTGGATTACCAAATAACAGAGAAGGGAACAGCATTTGTCAAACATTGCCTATTTGCCAAAAACTAATACTGATCACTTTATATAATTAGCTCATTATATCCTCACAATAATTCCATAGGGTTTGAGTGTCTTCATCATTCTACAAATATGGCAACTGAAAGATAAAGTAACTTACCCAGTGCATCAAAGGACCTGTACTTGCCACTCATGATAACAATGAACGCAAATACATACAAGTGGTTCTTTTTAACCTGATGTCATTATGTACTTACATAGCTTCTGAACATGTTGTCTGTTTCGCCAACAGGAACATTATTGAGCAGGACTGCTGTAACTGTATCGACGCCTTCCAAAACCAACTTTACTTTACGCCATTTGCTAAAAAAAGATTTTTAAAACAAGATGTACAGAACATTAACTTAGATAATTAGCCTTTTTTTATTGTTAAGAACGAAAGGAATAAATATTTCACAGAAAATATACACTCTTAGAAGGGAGTTTGCAATGAAATTTTCAGAAATATTGCTTTAATACATTTTTATGTTGAGCGATCCAGTTTAACTTTCTTCAAAATATTTCAACCACCATAAAATCATGAGCATGACTTCTAATTTCCAGGCATTGACTTGTTTCCTAGAACTTCACAAATTCTTATAAGAACCAAATTAAATAACAGACATAAAACATTGTCACAAACTATTATATTTACTAACACTAAGAGAACGCATTAACCAAGGAACAATTATCTATGAGTAAACATTATGTGCCCAGCACTCTGCTAAGCCTTACAGGGAACTAAAACAGTCTCTGAATTTAAGGAATCTGCAATCTGGTTAGCATTGAAGCCTAAAACACAGGAAACAAAGAGAAAGCTTTCTATCTCTTCTACTTTGTGGTACAGTCTTGCTGGATAGATTACAAGTGCTATCAGAGTTTATGTCATAAGGAACGACTTCAAGAAGGAGACAAGAGTTTAAAGAACAAAATAAATAAAATGTATACCCATACAATAAAATAGCACTCAGCGGGCTTCCCTGGTGGCGCAGTGGTTGAGAGTCCGCCTGCCGATGCAGGGGACACGGGTTCGTGCCCCGGTCTGGGAAGATCCCACATGCCGCGGAGCGGCTGGGCCCGTGAGCCATGGCCGCTGAGCCTGCGCATCCGGAGCCTGTGCTCCGCAAGGGGAGAGGCCACAACAGTGAGAGGCCCGCGTACCGGGAAAAAAAAAAAAAAAAATAGCACTCAGCAACAAAAAGAAATGAATTACTGGTGAATGTGACGACACAGATGAGCTTGAAAACATTATTATGCCAAGTGAAAGAAGCCAGTCACAAAGGACCACATGTTGTATAATTCCATTTCTTTGAGACTTCCACAAGAAACAAATCCACAGAAATAAAAAATAAATGAGTGGTTGCCTAGGGCTGAGAGAGAGATGGGGGATGGAGGTGCAGGAAGTGGTGCATGATTGGCAAGAGTAAGCAGCATTTTCACAGACATGCAGAGAAAGTTAAACTTGATCCAACAATCGAAAGGAAGACACCATCACTCTTAGGCAAGAATGTCATGGTAAAACCAAAATCTGGGAAAGATGAATCTTATGTTTCTGCATACAAAAGACTGGAGAATAATAAAGGCCTAGGCAAAGGCGGAAAGTTGGAAATGAGGAGGCAGGGGCTGAATCAAGAGAAATGATAGGCAAAAATTAACAGGACTCAGAAACAGAGCGAATACAGGGAGATGAAAAAAAGATACGATGAGCCAAAAACTCCTTGGGCACAGAAGATTGGGAAGAAGGTATTAGAGTGAGAGAAATAACGAGGTTGCTAGAATATAAAGCAAGCTCTCAGTGGGAAAGTCAATTGGTTAAATTTCGGATATGTTGAGCTCAAGGTGAAAGAGGACCCCCTATTAGAGATATTTTAAGTATTATCTGGAAATAAGAGCCTGGAACACAGTAATTCCATGATATTGAGCACTATTTTCTGGCTTTATTTCTTTTTTAAGAAGTTAGTAAATAATTACCCAAGAAAAGGTCATATTAAAGGGACAAAAGGGTTTTTTTTTTAATTTAGCAATAATGGAGGTAGATACAAATTGGGTTACATTCTGCTAAATAGAACATTACTGAAAACTATACCATGGTTTTCCTCGTGGCCTCATGACATAATCTAAGGCCAATGCCTTAGTTTCAGTGGCTGGTTAACACTACACCAAACAAAGGATGTATCTCTGATCCTACTTGACAATATTGTAAATATATACACTCTATGGATTACTGGGAGGGCAGGGAAAAGGAAAGGCAGATAAGAGAATTGACTAGGTCGAGGTGACTCCATTATAACCACTGAGAAAATGATTGAATAAGACATAATTTTGTGACTAATGATCCGTGGCACCACCCTCATACACAAGTCAAAACATAAATCATATATATTCACTTTTATAGTACAGGCTCTAGTCTGACAATGTTCTGATATGCAACCTAAACAAACAAAAGATTATTGCAGACAGAAAAAGAACAGAAGTTCAAATAATAATAATAAATAAATACATAGATATAAATATAGATATACACACATAAGTACCTCACGTCAAAAGGAACTTTAAATTTCTTGATATAGGTCCAGTTATCCAAGGCGATCCATCGGTAGTTAAGGTTATTAAATCTGTAGTAAGGATCCTGTTGATAAAAATTATGGTAGGTGATTAAATATGCAAAAATAATTAATTAAATAAACATGAAATAAACTATCAATGATAGCTATTTATTACCTAAAAATTAATGAACTTTTGGCCTAAGAGTGCAAGCATTTCATATGCCGACACATCCCATCCTCAAAGCTAAAGCTTCATCTGTTTAAGAGACCATTACCTTCCAAACAAAGTTGCCATGGCATGAGCATACTAAAAATACTAAAAATAATTTTAAATGGAAAAAAAACCCCAACACAATCAAAATACCTGAAATGAAAGAGCTCTGAGATACAACTATTACATAGTTTCATTATGAAAGAACATGTGTGGAGATGAAGATTAGCTTCCCCTGTTAAAACCAAGCACAGAACCTGCAAGGTATCAGCAGAGAATGAACGGCAGCACTTCTTATGGTGCGCAGCCATCAGCCACTCACCGCCCTCTGGTTCTTACTTTGCGTTCTGCTGCCACTATCCCAGCTGGCCTCAAGAGGAACACTTCTCCTCTACTGCCCAAAGATCAGCAAAACTCCCACTCCTTGGATTTACTCAGCATTTACAAAGTTATTTTTCACTCAGCTTTACTAAGTGAACACAAAAAGGATCTCTGCAGAGAATATACAGGCAGAATAGATAGCGTCAAACTTACAGATCTCAGGTTTCCTATATTAGCCTAGCCTAGGTCAGCAAACTACAACCCATAGGCCTAATGCAGCTCACTGCCTGTTTTTGCATGGCCAGTGAGCTAAGAATGGACATGTGTCGATAAAGAAAGTTTTACTGGAGCACAGCCAGGCCCATTCCTTTATAAATTACATACGGCAGTTTTCATGCTACAGTAGCAGAGTTCAGTAGACATGACAGAGACCAAATGACCCATGCAGCCTAAAATAGTATCTGGCCCTCTGCCCTAGACAACTGGCCTGCTGGGTGTTCACAGATGCTCTTCCATCTCAGCGTCCAGCCCCAAGTCCTCACTTCCATAATCCTTACCTCTTTCTTCTCCTACTCATTTTCTACCCTTTACCTCTCAGATGAGGGCTCCCAGGCAGGAGGTGGAACAGAAAATGGTAAGAGAAGTTTCTCAGCTCTTATGTCTGTGAACACCACCACGGCTACGTAGAGGGACACAGCACAGGCTCAGAGGGCTTCTCCCTTCCAACTGGGACAGGTCCAAGGGTGATTGCCTCAGGAACTGCAACTCCAACTTGAGAGGGAAAAGCCAACTTTGTCTCAGTTCCACAGAGGTAAGGGCTGGCCACTGGCAACAGCTAGCTGAGCACTTGCCCTGAGAACAAATCCGCAAGAGGCACTATAAAATCACGGGGTGTGTATCAAAATGGAGAGAAAGGTATCAGCCAGAAACTGCTCCAGACTGGAAGAAATAATTTTGATAAGATACCAAGGGGGTGGGGGGACTTCTCTGGTGGCCCAGTGGTTAAGAATCCACCTGCCAATGCAGGGTACACGGGTTCGAGCCCTGGTCCGGGAAGATCCCACATGCCGCGGAGCAACTAAGCCCGTGCACCACAACTACTGAGCCCGCGTGCCACAACTACTGAAGCCCGCGCACCTAGAGACCGTGCTCCGCAACAAGAGAAGCCACCGCGATGAGAAGCCCGCGCACCGCAACGAAAGTAGGCCCCGCTCACCGCAGCTAGAGAAAGCCTGCACGCAGCAACGAAGGCCCAACGCAGCCAAAAAAAAAAAAAAAAAAGATACCAAAGGGGCAGTCAGTGGTTGACAAGATTTAATAACAACCAATAGAGCTTCCCTGGTGGCGCAGTGGTTGAGAGTCCGCCTGCCGATGCAGGGGACACGGGTTCATGCCCCGGTCCAGGAAAATCCCACATGCCGCGGAGCGGCTGGACCCGTGAGCCATGGCCGCTGAGCCTGCGCGTCCGGAGCCTGTGCTCCGCAATGGGAAAGGCCACAATAGTGAGACGCCCGCGTACCGAAAAAAATAATAATAATAACAACCAATAATCACCAAACTGACTTTTAAGGTCTGGTTAATGGTGAGCTTTCGTTCTGCTAAATGGGGTGTGCCAGGCCCAGCCCACTTGCTTCTTTTTCTTCTCTTCCCCACACGCAGGACTCAGCCTCTCCAGTGAGCTAACATGGAGTAAATATTTAAGGACACAGGTTTGAAGAGGCACCTAGTTATTAACCTGCCCATGTGTCTCTACCCAGCCCTATTTATAACTCTACACTGTGGACTTAATCCAATATATTTAAAAATATCATGAGAAGAAAGGTGTGAAGGCTAATGCAGTTGCAATATGTTAACCTGCGGAGCCTCAGGGCTGGGTGATATCTGGCTTGTGGGGCACAAGACTCTTTCCTATCCCCCAGCTCCTTGAAGGAAGCTGCATGTCAAGCTCCAGAGGGTAATCTTCTCAGATAAATTTTTTCTAGACAAACAGAATTTAGAAGTTAAATATTTTCTCTTACTTAAAAGAAGCCAATCTGAAAAGGCTACAGACTGTATGATTCCAACTATATGATGTTCTGGAAAAGGCAAAACTATGGAGACAGTAAAAGGATCAGAGGGTACCAGGGATTAAGGAGGAAAGAAGGATGAATAGGCAGAGAACAAAGGATCTCTAGGGCAGTGAAACTACTCTGAATGATACTATGATAGTGGCTACATATCATTATACATTTGTCAAAATCCATAGAATGTACAACACTAAGAATGAGCTGTAACATAAACTATGGACTTCTGGTGATAATGATGTGTCACTGTAAGGTTCACTGATGGTAACAAATGTACCACTCTGGTAGGGGGTGTTGATAGCGGGGCAGCTGTGCATGTGTGGAGACATATAGGAACTGTCTGTATTTTCCATTCAATTTTATTATGAACCTAAAATTGCTCCAAAAAAATAAAATTTATTTTAAAAAATTGCTCTAAGGGCAAATACCTACCTCCCTAAATTAAAAGTTGCAGAGACTCAGATTACATTTATAATAACTACTGCAAATGCTAAGCAACCAGCTTAATTTGGTTCCAGAGTGGTCTGATCCCCTTTGCTCATATTAAAATTCTGAGTCCTATTTAAAGCAAATAGGACTACGTTCAGCATTACATCTGATGACTAAGGACCCATGTAAGTGATTGAGTTCATAAGCAAACCCATGAACCCTAAAGACAGTAACAGTATCACTTGTTGACCATTTACTTTATATCAGCCTCCAAGATAGGCACTCATTCACTCTTACCTTCATAACAAAGATGTGCTGTAAATACCGTTCTGTACAGGAAGAAACTAATGCTCCAAAAGGTGAAGTGTCTTTCCTGAGGTCCCATGATGAAGCAGAAGTACATCCAGGCATGAAACAAACTCAGTCCAACACCAAGGTCTACATTTTTTCAACTGTGCTTCAGTGCCTCACACCATATTTACCTACACTTCGTGTGTGTGTGTGTGTGTGTGTGTGTGTGTGTGTGTGTGTGTGTGTGTGTGTGTGTGTGCCTCGGCATGTGGGATCTTCCCGGACTGGGGCACGAACCCGTGTCCCCTGCATCGGCAGATGGACTCTCAACCACTGCGCCACCAGGGAAGCCTCATCATCATATATTTTAAATGAAGAAGTAGCTTACAAAACCATCTCAGGGACTGACTTCATCTTTATATTATTATATTTGTTTGTATATACTTAGAAAAGTCTGGAAAGATATACATGAAAAATTTTACCTCTGCTTAATAGTATGCTTTTTATTAGCTTTTTCCTTCTTCTTTATATTTTATATTTCTCTGCATCAATATTTATACAGTAAGTATTAAACATTTATTATTCTTTTTAAAAGAATTTTAAAAGAGAATAAGAAAATTCAGTATATAAGAATTTTGTGCATGATAAAAGTAATGTTTTGTATCAGTGGACAACAGAGAAATTGTTCAAATCATGTGATATAGAAAACTGTTTAACTATTTGAAAAAACTCAAATGGATCAAAATTTTAAATACAAAAGAGGAATTATAAAAATACTAAAAGGAGGAAATATAGGTAAATATTTATTTAATTGGGAGAGAGGAAATTACTTCCAAAGCATAATACCAAAGACAGAAACAATCATAAAAGAAAAAAAAGCTTACAAGATTTCAACATATAAAACTTTAAAACATGTATATGACAAAATATATCACTAATGAATGGGAAATTTTTGAAAATATATAACAGGCCTAACAAATCTATATTTTAAAATATGAATAGTCAATAGAAAAATAGATAAAAAACAGGAATAAGTAAGCCCAAATCACCAATAAGCATGAAATAAACATATAAAAGGTGTTTAACCTCACTAGAAAGTAAATTGTTTCTATTTTTATTTTTTAAAATAATATCCAAATCTAGCACTTAAAACAAGTACTCCAATAAAGTCATGATGGGAGTGTAAAACTGGTACAATTTTTATGGAAAACAACTTAGAAGTACATAGCAAAAGACTAAAAAAATGTATACCCTTTTGAATCAACAATTCCACTTTTAAAAATTTGTCCAAGAGAATAAGGATGTACACTAACTAAAATGTAGCTAAAAATATCTTCCCATCATTGCAGAATAAAATCCAAAAGTTATTCCCAATGGCCTACAAGCCCTGCATGATCTGCCCCAGATGGCTACTTTGAAATCATCCACCTGCCCCCCAGGTCACAGAGCTACAGCCACCTGGCCTGCTTACTATTCCTGGAACTCATCAAGCATGTTCCTGCCTCAAGGGCTCTCCCCTCCTCACTGCCATCTTTTCTTCCTTTTTGCTGGGAAATCGCTTCCCCTTAAAACTGAACTCATCAAAAGATCTTTATCAAAATGGCTATCTTTAACCACCTCTTCTAAAATAGAATCCTTCCCAACAAGCCTTCGCTCTCTCTTCCTTTAACGTACTTTATTTTTCTTCAGTGTACCCGCTGTCACTGTATTATCTATTAATCTGTTTATTGTCTATCTCCTCCACTAGAATGTCTATTGGGACAAAGACTTTGTTTTCTTCACCACTTGATTCCAAGCACCTGGAATAATGCCTGCCACATTGGAGGTACTGAATAAATATTTATGAGATAATTAGGTGAATGACTTCAGCAAGATATGTTTCAAGTTCTGATGTAAACACTGTATTTGGACCAGTGTCTACTCTAAACTATAAAATACTTCCTAGGTCAACACCAAAAAGGGATGGTATAATAAAGCAGGTAGTATAACAACATCATATTACTCCATAATGATACTTGATGATTACTGTCAATAGACCTGGAGTTCCCCAATCCCCAAAAGCTCCCCATCTCTCATCCCACTTCCATTTAAGAACTACATCTACCTTTACTGAAACTTAAAGTTTTCCTTAGAATTTATTAACAGATTTAACAGACGTTGTAAATTGTTCCCACGAGGAAAAGTCAGTTATTTCCTTCTGTGAGCACATCATTCACATTAACGAGTAACCAAACATTGTTTCTTGATATGTAGCCCTGTAACATGAAGCAGTAATCTGATTTACTACAGCCACTAATGATTTCCCATTGCCTTAATTTAATCAGGAAGATGAGACAAGGAGAAACCCTGCAAAAGAAACACAGGCATTTTCAAAGCATGGGTAAGTGAAGCCTTGGGGTACCAAGGTCACCTGTGGTCCATGTCATAAGTAGTTTGTTAACTAAAAATAGTTCAAATACTGAAGTCTGAGAATTCTTTACTTGAAAAATACACAGGACCATGGTCAGTGTCATTTACATTTGCTTCCTTTCTGATACACATTTTTGAAAAAAGGCTAATGGTACCATATCAGAAATTTTGCATAACCCTAGTTGACTGTCCTGTCATTTAAGTAAACTTTGAATTATATTCCTGACAGTCAACTCCAGTGCTTTAAAAACACATGATTTGTCAATGTGTCACACATGGTAAGTGTCACACAGTACAAAAGGCTATGAAGTCAGGCCAGGCTCCATTTCTGCCACTCTTAGTTGCTGTGTGATCTTGGGAAAATTCTCTAACTTCTCTGGGCTCCATAATTCATATCATCCATAAAATGAAGATAAGAAGACTTACTCTTTAGAGTTGTTATGCGGATTGGGACAATGCATGCAAACCACGTATCAAGTACATGTTGTCCCAAGCAAAGCCATTAAAGATGTGCAGCAGATGGAAGGAAAAAACAGTGGGAGGTGGCAGTCTGTTTGCAAACCTCTAACCACAGGCGGCCAAACAGGAAAACGTCCTCCACTAGAAGTCTAGAAATTGAAGCATCTATTGGGACACACACATCACATCACATCACACGCCCTGAGAGGAAACAGCATCTTTCTTCATATCCCAATCAGCATTAAAAATTATTTAGCCTGTACTCTAGCACTGACAATCCTACCCTTAACACTTGCAGGTCTCATTCTCCTCAGCTTATGTGCTGCTGCATCAATTCCAAATCTGACTCCCTGGTGCCTAAAAGCGAAAATGAAAAACTGAGGCATTAATGAATACAGTTAACCCTTACTAGGCGAAAGACTATTGTCCTCTGCAGTGTTCGGGTAGTTGAAACAATAATCCCCCGCTTTAGGCTTTGTCAGTGACAACACGTCCTTTCTAATCTACGCTTCACTGGAGAACGATGGCAATAGCACCCCCAGTAGAACTGTCTGGACCTTCGCTTTCCTGAGTTGCTGCTGTCCCAGCGTGGGCGTGGGTCAGCCTCCAGCTAGCCCGGACCCCAGCGGTGATCTTCGCCAAGAGCAGATACATTGCCTAGGCGTCCCCATCCTCACACCCTCACCGCCCCCACCAGATCACAAGACGCAAAGGGGAAGTTAGTGCCAAACCGAGGAGAACAGCCCCGGGCTCGGGGACTGCCAGGCAGTTCCTGGGCCCCTCTCACCACGAGGGGGACGCGGGCGCAGGCTCCCGGCGGGGAGGCCGCACACAGTACCTGGATGAGCCTCTGGTGGAACAAGGCGCTATGCACGCAACCGGGAACCTCCGCGGGTAACTCCAGCGAGCCGTTCCCGCTGCGGATCCTCCAGCTTCCCCGCAAGCTGACGCTGACCACCATAGCAGCGGAGCCCGCACCGCACAACGCAAGCAGCAGGAGCAGGCGGAGGAGCATGCCGGCGGCCGGTACCTCAGCCACCCACGGGGGAAGAAGCCGCGCGCTTCGGTGAGCCGCGGAAGTTACCCTCTGTTCGGGAGGAGCCGGGGCTCTAGCTCTCCCCGCCCCGGGAACCGCCCCCAGCTCCCGGCCACGCCCCCGGCTCTCGGCCACACCCCCAGGTCAGCTGAGCTGAAAGGACCTCAGCTGCTCCCCAGGCTCCGCAAGCTAGCTGGGAGCGCGGATATCGTGCCGACTGGCCGAAGCCCGGCGCCGCGAGTGTCGGAGCCGCCACCTCGTGCATGGCTCCGGGCTCGGACCGCTGCGGTCTGGGTCCTCCTCGGCTCTTATCCCAGCTGCTCCGGCGACTGAACGGGAGGCGAGAACCGTGCACGCTAATTGGGACACACCAATCTCTGGACGCAAAGTAGCGCACAGCCTCGGGGAGCTCAGGGACAGACAGTAGTGTGCGGAAACTACAGCAAGAGAGGCTCCTCACTGCTTCAGAGAACCGAAAACCAAGGCACCCCATCACTTCAGTTCCCCCCGGTTTCCCCAGACTCTCATCAGTGCTGCAGGTGTCTGCCTGGCGCGGGTAACGCCCACCTCCGGCAGCTCTGCAGGTTTGTCTCAGAACAGTCTGCCCTTCAAACAATAAATAAGTACTAAAGTACCTAATTCGTACGATTGTTTTGAGAGCTGAGAAAATCCGTGTACAGCGTGCAACATAAGGCCCGGCCCAGAGAAAACACAGCACTTTGGCCTGATGTTAGTGGACTACGACCTTCTGTTTTGTAAAGCTCTGCAGAGGAGGTTCCTGAGATTCCGGAAACCTGCATTAATGCGCAGGCAAATTAAAAATCCTCTGCCGCTCACTAGCTGTGGGACTTGGGCAAGCCACAAACTCTCTAATACCCCCGTTCCCAGAACTCAAAAATGGAGACAGTACTCCTTTTTTGGGTTGTGATAAGCATAAAATGAGTTAACATACTTGGCTGTTCCTAACAATGCCTAGGTACCCAAAAAATACCACAGGTTTATTTCAAGTCTCATAATGGCACAGTCTCCTTGAGTCCCATTTTTGCAATAGGATGTAACTGCGATCTGGGAACTTAGGAGGGAATTTCGCATTGCATAAAATAGAATAACATATGACTGTGTTGATGTTATCTGCCTTATTTCTGTATTTAAGCAGAAGTCTTCGAAGAGAAGTTCTCCGCTCATTAAATCCGATTCTTGTTTTGCCTTAGAATGGCCCCGGAATTGCCTGAATCTGTAGACACTGGACAATATTTTATTTTTTCAGAGTCAGCATTTTTCACAAGCCTAGCATCTTGGCTTTAGGGACATTTGGATTATTCAGCCCAAGCCTCTGGCTTTAAAGCTGAGGGAACAGGGTCCACAGAAGTCAGGTGACTTGCCTGTCAGACAGTGGCAGACAGGACCCAAACTCTCCTTTCCTGGCCCATAGACTCCTTGCAGTAGGGCCCATTGATATTAAGGGGGAAAGGCTCTGGCTGGTTCAAAGGTTTCCTCACTCCAGGAGCATTTTACTTTTGATAGGAACGGAGCTCTCAATTCAAATTATATTCCCTGATTCATGGCATTAAATGGCCAGCCCTAGTCTGTTCAAAACTGATAACAAGACTTACGGCAGCAAGAGTGGCAAAGAGTTTTGTTTGTTTGTTTGTTTGTTTTTTCATAAATCCCAGAGCCAAGTCAAAGGAAAATTCATTCCTGTGAATATGTTTGGATATACTCTGTTGTTCTATTAAGAAATATTTTAGGGAATCTATTTTTTTAAGAAAAACAAGAATAGAGACTTATCATTCCTCCTTTCATTCCAAGACACAAGTATGACATCATTTGAATTACTTCACTTTGAAAACATACATTGGTCCAAACCCATAGAATGTACAACACCATGAGTGAACTGTAATGTAAGCTACAGACTTTGGGTGATAATGATGGTAGGTTCATCGATGATTGCAAATGTACCATTCTAGTAGGGGGATGTTGATAATGGGGGAGTCTGTGCATGTGTTGGGGCAGGGAGTGTATGGGACGTCTGTATTTTCTATTCAGTTTTGCTGTTAATCTAAAGTTGCTCCAAAAAATTAAAGTATGTATATATATATATATATACACATATATACATGTATGTATGTATATTCATGGGTCAAAGAAATAAAAGACTCCCAGTTACTGTTTAGTCATGTCAGGAGCTTGCAAGTCATCACTCCATCCTACAAACAAGTAAAAAGCTGAACAAACTGAAAATCAACAGCTTTTGTTAGATCTGTCAGAGAATTCAGGTGAAAGGGCAAACTGCTCCAAATTGGAGAAAAAGACAGGTGGATACAGAGAATCACAACTTAACCAAAGCAGAAACCCATGAGTAGAAAGCTCTGCGAAAACCAGTACTAGGGAAGGAAAATCTAAACTCTAATTTCTGGGACTTCCCTGGTGGCCCAGTGGTTAAGACTCTGCATTTCCACTGCAAGAGGCACAGGTTTGATCCCTGGTTGGGGACCGCATGCCGTAAGGCCAAAAAAAAAAACCACACAAAACAAAAACAAAAACAAACAAACAAAAAAACCTCTAGTTGTTGAGTGGCTGGAGGCTCAGTGTGGACAAATTTGAGAGTTTAAAAACTCCACAGGGGACTTCCCTGGTGGTCCAGTGGTAAAGAATCCGCCTTACAATGCAGGGGACTCGGGTTCCAACTCTGGTCAGGGAACTAAGATCCCACATGCCGCGCAGCAACTACTGAGCTCGTGCACCTCAACTAGAGAGAAGCCCCAGCGCCGCAATGAAAAAGATCCCGCATGCCTCAACGAAGATGCCGCGTGTCGCAACTAAGACCCGACGCAGCCAAAAATAAAAATAAATAAATAACTAATAAATAAATCTTAAAACAAACAAAAACTCCACCGGAATTCAGTCTTAGTGGGTCTCCCACAGTTTTGTGTTTTGTTTCCAGAAGATCTACCAGCTCTCACATTGAAGATTTGCGAGCAATTCCCTCATGCTTCCAGCAGAGGGACGGGGGTAAGGAACCATTTTGAAATACATGATAGCATTCTCAAGAACTACCCTCAAGAGAAACGATTTTATCAGAGCCTAACCTGGGAGAAGGGAAGTTCCTCCTAGCCTTCTTGCCTTACTTAAGGGGCTAAAAAAAACGAGAAGCATTTATTAAATTCACAGCCCAGGACACAAGTTCACTAAAAGACTAAGGCCTAATCATAAGACTATAGACAGCTGCCCCTCTCCTCATACCTTCCCACTATATCACTAAAGGCCTCTTTGCCACTGTTCATTTCACTGCACACATCACGTATGGCTTTCAACAAAAAATTACAAGGCAAAAAGAGACAGAGCAAGCCCTAGAACCAGACTCAGATATAGCAGGGATGTTGGATTACCAGGACAAGAATTTAAAATATTAGGCCAGCACTGGTCTAATACCAGCACCAGACAAAGACATTACAGTAAAAGAGAGCTATAGACCAATATCTCTCATGAACATGAATGGAAAACTCCCTAACAAAACAGTATCAAATTGAATCCAAAAATATATATATAAAAAAAAAAATATATATATATATATATATATATATATATACATATATATATGAATCATGACCAAGTGGGATTTATTCTGGGTATGCAAGGCTGGTTCAACATTCAATCAATTAATGTAATTCATCACAACAATAGGTTAAAAAATAAAAATCACATTATCATATCAATAGATACAGAAAAAACACTTGACAAAGTCCAATACCCATTCATGATAAAAACTCCACACACTAGGAATAGAGGGAAACTTCCTCACCCTAGTAAAGAACACAAAGAACTACACCTAACATTACACTAAATGGTGAGAAACTAAAAGTTTTTCTGCTAAGATCAGGAATAAGGCAAGGAGGTCTCCTCTTGTCACTCCTTTTCAACATCGTATTGGAAGCCCTAACTAATGTAGTAAGAAAAGAAAAGGAAATAAATAGTATACAGTTTAGGAAGACATAAAACTATCTTTGTTTGCAGACGACATGATTGCCTATGTGTAAAATCAACAACAACAACAACAACAAAACACTGAAAATAATAAGCAATTTATAGCAAGGTTACAGGATACAAGGTTAGAATACAAAAGTCTATCATTTTCCTATATACCAGCAATGAACAATTAGAATTTGAAATTAAAAACATAATGCTATTTACATTAGCACCCCCCAAAATAAAATACTTAAGTATAAACATAACAAAAATGTTTAAAATCTACATGAGGAAAACTACAATACTCTGATGAAAGTAATCAAAGAAGAACTAAATAAATGGAGAGATGCTCCGTGTTCATGGATAGAAAGATAGATGCTCCATGTTCATGGATAGAAAGACTCAGTATTGTCAAGATGTCACTTCTTCCCAACTTGATCTATAGAGTCAATGCAATCCCAATCAAAATCCCAGCCAGTTATTTTGTGGATTTTAACAAACTGATTCTGAAGTTTATATGACAGGCAAAAGATCCAGAATAACCCACACAATATTAAAGAAGAACAAAGTTGGAGGATTAATGCTACCCTATCAGGAACTAAGCTGAGCTGGAAGAGAGATCTGAGCTGTCAGGAGTCAGAGTAGCCAATTAAAGCAACAAGGAGCCAAACTGAAAGTAACAGTGAAGACTTCAACCACTTACAGTGATGGTATAAGCAAGAGGCTAAAACTGGAGAAGACGCCAACTCTCCCGTTCCATTGCCCAATAAAATGGCACACCAGTCACGGGGCAGGTGGATCAGCACAGATGTGTGTGTTGTCTCACGTTGACGGAGTCCTGAACAAAAGGCTCTGGCTGTTTTATGGGCCCTGGGGTAGGGGAGGAGGAAGGGCTAGGAGTGGAAAATTGCTGGGTACTGAGTTTGCGTAGGAATAAATGTATTCAAGGTTTCCCACTTCTTCTCTCCAATAAGGAGATCTCAGTGCAGTCACCTGAAGAAGACCTCTGCCCAAGGCCTCAGACAAAGAGAGCAA